AGCTCAGCGTTCTGTCCCTGCCCCCGACAGATTGATTTCAAAACACATTTATTGTTTCCAAATTTCTGTGGAGCTCTGGTATACATTCAGACAAATCAAGAATAATGAAGTCCTAGAAAGAAGGGACAATAAGGGACAATAAGATAGAAAGAAAGTACATGTCATAATGAATGTGAACATTATATAATGACAAAGTAAACACAATGATAATGCTAGTAATAATAATAATAGTATATAAAAAGTGGTCTAAAAATATTTTTACATGATTATTAGCAACATTTTTAGGCATTGTTTGCACAGACCTACAAAAATCTAAATCCAAATACAAAATACAAAAATAAAGTTAATTAACATTAATTGCATAGCTGCAGAACCTTTCGACCTCTCTGTATACAGCAGATTAAGTTGCCAGTGCGCAGTGCCATGCAGTATATTGTTGTATACTGTATTTTATACTGTGTTTAATAATGTGAATGAAGAGCCTTGCCATGTACATTTTCACTCACATTATACAAGCTTAAATTTAAGTACTTTTGGAGCAATTAAGGTTGCTTGGAACAATTACATTGTATATCCTAAAAACCTGCCATCATTAAAATACTATCCACTCTATCTAGCCAGAAGATTATCGAGAATCTGTAAACAAATGTTAAGTAATCTGACAGTTAATATGTGAAAACATTTTAAGTCTTTGGACATTAATTACATATGGCATTTCACATATACCTCATTAACATGAGTTCTTTCTTGAAGAAAGCCAATAACTATAGGGAGGTAGAAGAAAGTTTCTTTTCTAGCTGAAACTTGTATTGATCCTACAGGGATTGCAGACAGAAAAGAGGAGTAGACTAGAATGAAATGATGTTTTAATGTATGGTGATTCCAAATCACAAGTGCATTTGACAAATCTAATGCATTTGCTTTTAGAAGTACAATAGTTATCACAGATAAAAAGGTTAAGTTAGTTGACAAAAAATGTCCGCTTCCAATAGAATGTGAATTCATGATAATACATAGAGTAACTAATTGTAATGTTAAATGTGAGACCAAATAACAAGGGGATGTTTCAAAATCTGAATTCTTACCATTATATGCAGAATCAAGAGGAAATTGTATGACAGTCCCTTTTTGAGCCCTGTGGGTCTGCCCCAGGTTACTTGTGGTTACGAAGCTCTTTAGTCATTATTGTTGATTGCAGTGATTATGGGTATAGGAGGCTATGAGTGTAATCCTGTCAAACTAATTACAAGTGGACTGATGAAATGTCACATTACCATTAACTTTTTCACTGTTGCTTTATCAACCCACTGCCAAACCCCATACACTCAGTGATCATGCATGCCAACTCAACAAAGTGTTCTGGTAACTGCTTGTCACATGATGATAACCCTATCTGGCAGCTCTGTCTATCTTTCATCTCTTCTACCAGCATGTTTTCTGACTTCCCTCCATGTCTCCTATTCATTGATTCTTTACTTCTTCGTCATTCCATCCTGATTTTGCCACCCAACCCATCCTTTCATACCTATTTGTAGAAATGTTATTTCTCTCTGTGTATATTCCAACATCTCTCCAGTGCAACACACATACATGGGTGGAGGAACACGGAAAGAAATCTGTGGAGAAAAGCTGGTGCCCACTACAAGATACCATATGATTGTATAAAATCATCTGTAAATTGAGCCTAAACAACCAATAACTGAGTTTGACCCTATGACCCCAAAATCCATGAGTCCCAGATCTCTAGCCCTGGTAAAGGTTAGATAAGCTACTCTCAGATATGTCTCCTCACATGGAAAGGATACAAAGGCATTTTTCAATTTTGTAAAAAAGAAAGTTGAATAGGGAGAGTCCGCATAAGGTATACAAGACTTGGCAAAGCCATCATCGTCTTTAATATGTTAACACGGCTGAAGAAAGAAAACTGTGGTAAGTTCCAAAGCTTCAAGTCTACAAATAGGCTATGAGAGGTGAGTAGGTGGAGAGCCCCATAAAGGTCTTAGATTAAAAGTGTTAAATGTACCCCAAATATTTAATTCCAGCGTCTGACCACCAAAACTTATAGGAGTGTGATATGGAAGATCAGACAGACCAAGGTTTGCAAACGAACCCTTTGGGAAGTAAGATAGAAGCTAATCTGGTCCAAAAGTGGTCACTGCACTGCAGTGGTCACTGCAATGCTAATAACTGGCTGTTCTTGTAACAGGAAGAATATCCCTTAGTGGTAAACAATAACTGGTTATTTAAAATAACTTAGGAAAACCTTTCGTAAACCAGAGAAAGTGAATAAAGCAAATTTGTCATGGCTTTCAAGGACAAAATAGTACTGCGTAGTGTGTATATTCTTCAATGCATTTAGAGCAATGATCACCGGTTAGATTAGTCAAATAACAGCAAAAATCTATAGAAGGAAAACAGGACAGAAAATGAGTATAAGATTATACAAAATCACTCTAAACAGCTTCAACAGGCAGTATCATCTGGTCTGGAGGTATTGAGGATGGCTTTCTTTTCTTCCTCAGTGTCTTTTGCCATTGGGAGTGCTGTGGCTAAGGTTCTAATGGCACCAGACTAATCTGCTACAGCTCCTTCTGCTAGGTTCAGGGCCTTCTAGTAAACCAGCACTTTACCAGGAGAGGTTATATTGTACACAGTCCCTTGATGTGAGACAATTAATGTGAACAGGAATCCCCATTGGTATTAAATATCTTTATTCCTTAGGGCCTAAGTAACTTGATTGAGAGTACTTCACCCTTTGTGCTTGAAGTGTGAAGGAGGATAGATATTGCAGAACAGTAATAGTATTGCCTCTATATTGTAGAGAGTCTCCTATTCTAGACTTCTCTTTTCAAGGGTAAGTGGTGCAATCTGCAGACACATCTCATGTAACCGCAGATTGTAAGACTTTAGAGCGAAGCGCTCTGTCAAATTTTGTTTAGAGTGGCTTTAGGCATAGGTGTGCGCAGCCTATTGTATAAGGGTGTGCACCCTAAAGCAGAAACACACACGCCGCGTATATATATATATATCTCAAAGAGATAAATGCTTGGCACTCTCCTTTAAGTAATAAGTACAAACTACTGGCCTGGGTGCAGTATCCTATGCGTCAAAAATATGCAGAAAATAAGAAATTAGGATTTCACAGGGCTTAATAAAGGTGAAAAAAATGTCTTTTAATTATTCCATGTGAAGTGTACAGATGAAGCAATCGACGTTTCGACCCTGACGGGTCTTTTTCAAGATCAACAAATACAAATCATAACAATGTTTATATACACAATGTATCATAAAATACTTACCAAGTGAAGATGTGATGTGTGAGTGCTCTGCCCGTTACTATCACGGCCGGCTTCCATTCACTTCCGGGTAGTAACGGGCAGAGCACTCACACATCACATCTTCACTTGGTAAGTGTTTTATGATACATTGTGTATATAAACATTGTTATGATTTGTATTTGTTGATCTTGAAAAAGACCCGTCAGGGTCGAAACGTCGATTGCTTCATCTGTACACTTCACATGGAATAATTAAAAGACATTAGTTTGTCACTAAAAAAGAGAAAACTAAACTATGTTCGGCAAATTTTTCTACCTGTTTAGTTCATTTATCCTGAAGAATATAAAGCAATTAAAGCAATTTAGATGTTACACCATAAATTGCTCCAAGACTTGTCACTACATTACATCAAATTGTGTGCTTGTCACCATGTAATAGATGCTTTTAGTCATAACATTTATGATTCCAACCTTTTAGATAAACTGTAAAAGGCAAAAAGTGGATCATAAGCTATTTAAATCAACAAATCATGGTGATTGCTTCACTTTAAAACTTTTGCCCACTTTTATAGCTCTCCCTGATTTATTGTTACACATTACATATAGAATACCCCTTTTTAAGTACATAACAAAAAAAAATACAACATGATTGATTCCCTAGAACACAGCTTAAAATAACAGAAATACATATTTGTATGTTTGACTGAGCCCTGAACAATGAACCACTGAGCTTTAATAGGCCACACAGATCCCTCATTTCAAGCAGATCCTTAAATATATAAACACACAAAGGAGTGACAATATTAGTCCTCGAGTTGCTAAGTGATACCACTTGTAAAACCATGAAATTCAGGCAGTAAAAACAGTACAGGATCCTTAAAACATATGGTAATGTGAGAGAAGTGAAAATTGCTGCTTTGCGCTGAGAAAAATATTTACCTTAGGATCCACGTTTAGTATTTTCCTGTCCCTCTTATTTTTGAACAGTAATCCGGATGAATTTTCAGCAATCACTTGGTAATTTGGACTTGCGTTTGAAGTTGAAACATTGGTCTCCCAGTTGTAAAAGCTGCAGGTAGAGAAATAAATCTAATAAGTATGGTGGTACATGTCAAGGGAGTTATTTACATATGAAGGATTTGGATTAACTATTGTATGTGTATGTACCAAAATTACAAAGACTGACCCTTTTGTTTTAAGGTGGGAATTCACTTTACCCAGCAAGCTGAATGGGATATACGTATGGCGTCTGGCTAAATGGTTTATTCAAAGAAAATCACCACCTTGTTACCAATACAATATACGAGGCATATACACTTCAAATGCAGCAGTTCTAGAATTCTTCACCGCACTGCCTCACAACACATTGAGAAAAAACCCCAGAAAGAAAACGGACTATATTCGTCCGCTTGTTAAAGAAAAGTGTTTATGGCAACCATATATCGATCTTAGCTTTATAGGATGCTGACATTATGGCACGCTTTTCCATTATTTTTCTGTTTGTCTACCTATCATTTTAGATCAAATCTATAGGGGACTACACTACAGAAAACATGTGACCAGCATGCTATAATGAGATATAAGAATGGTGCTAACTAGCACTATGTAGAATTCATCCGACAGACGGTTATCATGTATCCCAATTAGTGATGTCCCGAACTGTTCACCGAACGGTTCGCCACGGACTCATCATTGAGTAAACTTTGACCCTGTACCTCACAGTCAGCAGACACATTCCAGCCAATTAGCAGCAGACCCTCCCTCCCAGACCCTCCTACCTCCTGGACAGAGTCCATTGTGAAGCTGCATTCTTAGAGAGCTGTCCAGGAGGTGGGAGGGTCTGGGAGGGAGGGTCTGCTGCTGATTGGCTGGAATGTGTCTGCTGACTGTGAGGTACAGGGTCAAAGTTTACTCAATGATGAGTCCGCGGCAAACCGTTCACGGCAAACCGTTCGCGAACCGTTCGGCGAACAGTTCGGCGAACAGTTCGGGACATCACTAATCCCAGATCTTTGATCTACACATGGGTGAATAGCCCTTCCTTTTGGTGCTTGGTTAGCATCAATCCAGCATGGGCCGGCAAGGGAGGTCATGTTTTCTCCTGCTAGCCTTTGCCTATGGCCACGGCCAACCGGGCATTTCCTGTTTTGCTAGATTGCCAGTTCAGACCTGCAGGTCATTACAATACATGTACCTCCAGATGGAATGAAAATCCCAAATCTGTATAGGAATCAAGGCAGAGCTGAAAAATTCTAAGCTACATATTACATATTGCCTTTACTGCTAATCACCCTGTCTAGTTACTCACATATATTGAAAAAAGGTATTTAATTAAATGTTAATGTGGTTAGCAGATTTTCTACAGTCAGGCTGGTTCCTATGTAATCTAGGTACCTGTTTTGGTACACATATAGGCTATTAACATACATTCTGCATAACATCACACTTTAGGATTAACTCATCAATGTATACCACCTGTGGTAAGAATCTAGCTGAGCAAAAATAACAAACTGGGACTTATTCACTGGAATCACCATCAACATTTTAGAAATGCTGCATGTGATGAAAAGGCCTTATATGTATATGGATATGGCATTACGTAATCAAGTTAATGTAGAGACTATATATATTTTTTAAATTCTGTTTTCAGTAATAGTGTAAAAGTAGTATACAGGTTGCACTGCACAACAAAGTATGTGTTACAGAGAAATGACATATCGCCTCGCATTGAGAGTGGGTATTGGTGGTCTTTTGTTATGGTAGCTAGGAATTCACTGGTTTTTGAAGTCATGGGTTTCAAGTAGCTTATTTTGTGCTTACTTGTAAACGAGTTGGGTATACAGCCAGGGGTCTATTTACCGCGAGGCTGACAAGGTATTTGCCTTGGGCAGCACTTTCTGAGGAGCAGCAAAAAAAGGCGAGGGAGCTCTGATCCTCCTGTTCAGCTCCCTCACGCGCACCTTAGTGATGCCGGAGCCGGAATATGACATCACTCTGGCCCTGGATTACTACGTGGCATGCAAGGGAGGTGAAAAGGAGGATCAGTGCTCCCTCGCCAACTGCAGTGACCGACCTGCCGCCCAGCAGCCCCACTGGACCCGAGGGACAGCGATAATCCACCCCAGCACTCCCAAAGGTAGGGGGCTGGGGGGATTGAATTTTTTTTTTTTAAATTAAAAAATGTGAGTGTGTTTGTGTGTGTTAGTGAGTGTGTGTGTGTGTGTCTGTTAGTGTGTGTGTTACTATGTGTGTTTGTTAGTGAGTGTGTTACTATGTGTGTGTCTGTTAGTGTGTGTGTGTTAAAGAGTGTGTGTCACGCCGCATCATTGCAGTGGCATTCCCATACATCAAAGGGAATGGCGCCTGATCCTTACCTGACATGCAGGCACCCGCCGGATCCACTCATGCCCGGGAGAGTGGACTGGGACACGGCGGCACATCTCGGTCTGGCAGCATTCCCGCGTGGTAATAGGAATGCCACCCATTACACACCTAGGCTCCAGACAGTAGTTCCTCCCCTCACACAGCGGCCAGGTCTGCAATCATTAGAGACAGTGGTCGCTGCAGCTTTGATGCTTTTAAGGGTTTGTAATTTAACCCTTGGAGTGCCATTCCATTTTGAACATGTGGGTGTGTCACACGCCCACTATCACATGCTTCCCTACAGCCAATTAGGGAGCACCTCAGGCTATATAAACCTTTTTTGTCCATTTCTCTGTGCCCTGCCGTGGTTTCCATTGTGGTTATCCGAGAGTGGGTTTCCGGTATTGATTCTAGTGTATTTGACCTTGGCTTCCTTTTGACTATCGGATCTCTGTATTCCTTGACCTTTGGCTGGGCTCCTGACTATTCTGAATTCTACATTGCATGACCCATGGTTGTTAATTGTTTCCGTGATTTCTGCATTCTTGACCTTATCCTGTCTTGTGTTTTTTTTCATACGTTAAATACGGCCATTCTAAGGCCCGGTAATACGACTTGGGATTTTCTTTTATATTTACTTAAGTTCTGCGTGTTGGGCATTAGCTATTCCTGACAGTGTGCTAGTGTGTGTCTGTTCGTGTGTATGCATGTCTGTTAGTGAGAGTGTGTGTGTGTCTGTTAGTGAGTGTTTGTCTGTTAGTGAGTGTGTATGCGTGTCTGTTTGTGAGAGTGTAAGCATGTGTTAGTGAGAGTGTAAGCATGTCTGTTAGTGAGAGTGTAAGCATGTCTGTTAGTAAGTGTGTCTGTTAGTGAGTGTGTGTGTGTGTGTCTGTTAGCTAATGTATGTTTGTCTGTCAGTGAATGTGTGTGTCTGACACTGAGTGTATATTTGTCTGTCAGTGAGTCTGTATGTGTATTTAGAGAGGAGGGTGGGGGGGGGTGAGTTTTGTCATGCCTAGGGCAGCACAAAACCAGGACACAGCCATTTTAGTTGTCAGTTTCAGTGGCATTTGGATCCCTTAGACCTGTACACATTTGTATTGTGAAGTGGTATCGTGACATTTATCGTGAAGGTCATCCGTCCTTGTGTGGTGGTACAACGGTCATGTGAGGTGTGGTGGAGTTAGTGGTGCAGATTTGTTTATTAAAGGAAGGTAGGGGATAAAAAGGGGTTGTCACAGATGGTGACACAGATGCATAGTTCAAAGCTCCATTGTGCTGTGTTGTATGGTATTGGTAATAAGAAGGTGGTATTTACTAAAGCTGCATCAAACTGAACCTCGGGATTGTGCATTGAATAGGATTCATAAAAAACAACCCAAATCATTCAGGAAACAAAGAAACAAATGAAAAATCTACTAGAGATTAAATATTTAGATTCATATCTCAAAGGACTTATTTAAAGTGTCTGTATTGTGCTTAAAGTGACATAGTAACGCTATCACATTATTAATTAAGGATTTAATTCACGCGGTGTTCTTAAATGAGTCATATTGGGCTTTGTGTTTTGGCAAATGATTAATCATTGAACATAAAATATGCACTAGTCGACTTACTGCGAGGTCACTTATTCATAATCACTATCTAGCAGCAGCCATTCAGTTCCATATGCCTTATACACATATGAGAATCTGATGGTTTAGACAGATGACTGTTATATGTAAAAATATGGCTGATACGACATATGAACCCAATTTTTAAATCAGAGATAACAAGGTGAAATATTGTTCTCTTCTCATATACTTTATATTAGTGGAGATCAAAGCTGAAATAAACAAATGCAACTCTTCCCTGGAGTTTTATACACAATTGCTCAAATAAAGCTGAATAAACATTCCGAGAATGGTAATGCTTTTGACATTCTGATAATGTTAAACAGAAACACGATAGACTTTTTCTTTTCATTTTAAAAGCTGCAAGCATTACGTGCAAGCCAAATATGTCCACTTGTCTTGTCAAGCAAGGGGTTCTGCTCATTAGCCTGCTGAAGACTATTTATCAATAATGACTGCACCCCTGTGAGATCCATACTGAAGCCAAAAGGTGTGTAGTGAACAAGCTGTTAATGATGTGAGCAGGAACTGAATGATGTGATGGAAGAGAACATGTGTATATTCGAGACCAGAGATTTCTACTTGTATCATCCAAGGTGTCAAGATTCTTTCAAGTGATGAACTGCCTCACAGAACTGAATGACACTTGGGAGTACCAAACTGCATGTAACCGGAACTGTCTAAATAGGCTACATCTTCACTATATAACACCCTTACCCTCTACTCTAAGCATATACCCACCTGCCCAGAGACCCCCAAAATCAGAAGACCTCAGTGTTTAGAATCCTATAGACAATGCATTCTGCATACAACAGGGCAGCACTTTCAATGTGCTGCCTATGTACATGAAGAAGTGTTATGCATCCGTAAAAATATGGTTGTTATGGCTACGCTATCACATTCTTATAACACAGTTGCAGCTGGGACCATAAAACAGACAGACGATATATCAATCAAACTTATGTCATAGCATATTTCACACAATTTGCCTATATTTAGCCCTTTTCCAAAAAAAGCATCCATATGTTATAGTAGGTAGTACAATTACAGTGCCAAAGTTAATCAATAATTCACTGAAGCTCTCATCCACTCTCACTAGCTCCACCTCTCACGTAGTCCACATGAAAGTACCTTTTTTTCAACTCTAATTTCCACTTACTCCAGCTCGTATTAGTTGTTAGTCAGTTAAAAAGAGGCTGTGTTGGTTTTTTTCTGTGCATCCAGGGAGGGAGGGAGAGGGTTACTGTGAGTCTTTGGATACAATGCTGTCCATCTGATCTTGACAAGAGGAGACGAGATGTACTAAGAAGGTTCCTTACTCTGGTTTCCAAGTTCCAACATCCCAATTAGTGACATATGATATATGTAATGGTCTGTAGTCAGGCTGGACATTTTTCGAAACCAATCCTAACATACTCAGTAGCACATATATAGTAGAGTCTCAAAGATTCCTATCAGCCAGCCATTAGTTTGTGTGAAACAATATGGCAGTTTGTTCTCTGGAGAAAGGAGAGGAGAGTTGGAAAATAAGAGATGGCTCTCAGGTTTTAGGATGGGAAAAACATAATAAAGTGACCATTTAACCAATCACGTTAATGTCAACCTGTGTCAATAATTTAAGTATGAAAACAAAGCTATTAAAAGCATGACTAAGTACTGTCAAAATGGTGATGGGCGCAAAGGTTAGTTGTCACTGATCTAGAGCAGTGTTCCCTAACCCAGTCCTCATGGACCACCAACAGTCCAGGTTTTGTCAGCATCTCCATTGGAATAAAACAGGGACACACATAAATCCTGGACTGTTGGTGGTCCATGAGGACTGGGTTGGGGACACACTGAGTTAAGAGGGCTCTATAGCTCAATATAAGAGTATAACAAGAAGGCTACAAAGTGGAACACTCTATGGAACTTACAAAAGCTTAGGCCAAATCAACAAACTTGAGAACTAATACATGAGTTGGGGCACATTATCAAACTTACAAAGTGTCTTGCAAATTACCAAGCTGACGATTATTTCTGAAACCAGTTATTTTAGTCTAAATTTTGGAAGCCAGTTATTAATTTGTTAGAGCTTACTATTTAATGGATAAATCATAGAGTATCATGGGTCATTTGTGAAAATCTATGCAATGCCTAGAGACAAGGATTTTTCCTCGGAGGATGTATATCTCAGCTTGATTCATGGTCATTTGAGTTAGTATCATATGTAAATAATTATGCAGCAGTAAAAAATTGTTAAAATATAAAATAAAACAAAAAAAAAACCTTTGGATTTTATGAGAGCTAAAATGTAAAAAAAAAAAAAAAAAATTCCAATATGGCAAGAAAAACATTGATCCCCAGACTTTTTTGTGTATTTTTTTTTATCATGTTTTATGACATATATTTTTAAAGGAGACATGCCAATAAATTAATCTCATAAGATTGACTTATGCGGAGCCGAACATGTAGTGTGGTCCCTGCTGAAACAAGCTTGCAAAGGAAGATAAGGCATAATTAAACAAAATGGAATGCTAAGGTACGTTAAATTCGAAATAAAATAGAATGCATGTGTATTGACAGTATAGTCTGTGAATATTTTATCACTACAGAAAGGATGACTGAAGAACAAAGGAAGGATGTTGCAGGGGAAAATTGAATTGGTTACTTGATATGACTTCCTATAATAGATTGTATAAAGCTTTTCTTCAAACAATTAAAATGTTCTGTAAAATCTAACTGACTAGGAAAGGATTTTCACCCCAAAAAATCATCAAGCAGTAAGCAAAAAAGATTTTTGCAGCATATATCCGGCATGTGGCCACCAATGCACAGAACACAATGATTAACATCAAAGAAAACATATCTGCATGAGAATAAATGCCTTACTAGTATTAAAAAGGCCAAGACAAGGTCCTTAACTTCATTTCATAGCAGTTAAAATTACCACAGGGTAAATTACTAGGAAAGTCATGGCTTTTCTGGACAATCTCCTACTCTATATCTTTTATCCAATGCATACATAGTCATCGATTATGTGCAATATTACAAACTTCGGGAAGTCTAGTGGCTTTTCTAATTAAATTTACAAGTTCCAGGGCTTTTCTTCAGGCATGTTCTGATTTCCACAGAGCTCCTCACAAATGAACTGTCATATGCTCCTACCTGTCACGGCTGCTAGTGTGGTCCAACATGCAGAAACTATGTAAACATATACATACAAAAGGAAAGGAAATAAAAGGACAGAGCGTAAACCGGACCTTAGAATGGCCGGACTAATACGCTACAGATAGAGAATGGTCAAAGGTAAAGCCAAGGTCAAGGAAGCCAGAAAAACTCAGATACCGATTTAAACAAGTCAAGTCAGGGGAACCAGAATTTCGGAATAACCAGGGAAATGCCAAGATCATGATACCAGGAAGTAATATTCACAAAGATAAACACACTCTAGGGAACCAGGAAACCACGACAGGGCAAGGTACTGGGGTGAATTAGGGATTTAAATATCCCTATCTAGGCTCTGATTGGTCAGAGGGTGAGCTCTGACCCCAGAACGTGAGCGTGCGTTGACGTTGTGACGTCACGCGCACGTTCGTATAATTTTGGGGGTGGAGCCATGGATGGACGCGACCTCATGGTCGGCGCTATCTTGGATTTCCACGAGCGGCGTGGAGGAACGTTTCTCTGCTCGCCGCTGAGCAGGTAAGCTCAGTGAGTTGGTGCGGTCGTGCCGGTCGGGGGGCAGTGGGCGAGCCGGGGGCCGTGACACTACCAATGGATATGGGAAGGTGGATTTTGTGGCACAACCCAGTGCCTCACTTTTGGTTTTAAAATGCAAACTTTACACAGTGCTCCATCACTTTGGAATTTATATTCTACATTATAAATACAGACAGTATATATTACCATAATCGGTCACCATGGTAACAGTTGTGATGCTTCAGTTTGTGTTTTAGAATTATAACAACTTCCTACTCCCATTGATACTTGGCAAGGCAAACATCTGAAGCCACCCCGTACTTGAAAGTTTGGATTTTGAATCTTTACTTATTGGGTTGATTAGTAATTAATTTTATTATCTAGTTATATTTATTAATTCAACCCAGTCTCATATTTAATAAGTCTTATGGCAAAAGGACGCTTTAATATCATATAACGCCACCTGTGATACAATAAGGAACTCATTTTAGAGAAATTTTGCGTGAGCTACCAAAAAGAAATATATTTTCAGCTATCAAGAGGAATGGGCCAAGAAAGGTTCTTACTTTCAGAGATTTCATACCAATACATTTAAAAAAAAAGAATAAACCTGTCAGAATAAATCACAAGGGACTCCATTCTAGGATCAACAGGTGAATTACGGGTTGTGTTAACATTACTCAAAACAGATGGTAAATGGAAAAGAATTAACTGTGAAAAACATGTTACTATAGCCCAGCCCACAACAAATGAGCCAACTCATGGACTAAAAGTTCATGGTTGCTCCACTGTATCAGGGTGGAGAGGCACACGTGTTTTGCCTGTGCTGTGTGCCAACTTACACGTTGTGCTACAAATTTAAGAACTTTAGTTAACAAATATTAAGGTAACTGCAAGCTCTATTTGCAGACTTCCTTTTGATTTTGTTAAGAATCTAGTGTATGATGTATTGAAGTAAAAGGTCTTATTCACTAAATGGAGTTGTGGGGAACTCAAATGTAATTGCAAACTTGAGGCTAAAGCTTGAAATATTCCCAATTTAACTATTTTCCACTATGGATATTTGTACCCAATTTTTTTATGATCTTGTCAGTCTACCCCAATTCTGAGTTTAATGAATAACCAATACATTTACAATTACCAGTATTTATATATCAAGACAAAAAAAGGCTCCTATTATGCATACAATCTATTTACTGTTACCCAGCTTCAAAGGAAAAAAAAAAACAACATGGTTCGTTTCTTTAAACGGAAGCAAAGCAGCTACCATTAACCTATCACAGATCAGCACAACGGTATTGATCTGCAACGTTCTTCATCTTTGCCGTTCTCTAGCATATAAATAGTATCTCTCTATTAAGAATTATTATTGCTTGTTTTGTCCATACATAAAAGCAATCGACACAGTAAATGAAGCAAGTGTATTTTAAAGAAGAAAAACTACCACAACAAGAGGACAGTCTTAAATTAGAGGGGCAAAGGTTTAAAAATAATATCAGGAAGCATTACTTTACTGAGAGGGTAGTGGATACATGAAATAGCCTTCCAGCTGAAGTGGTAGAGGATAGCACAAGGAGTGGGATAGGGATAAGACTATCCAAGATATAATTAAAGTATTTCGAAAATTGGGCAGACAAGATGGTCCGAATGGTTCTTATCTGCCGTCACCATTTTTCTATGTTTTTATGTTGTAATTATCAATTGAAGTTTACTTTATAATTACAATTTATGGCTTATTATTATATATGTATCCATAATTGCTTATTTATGCACTAAATATCTGTAAGGACGGGAGTTTTCCTGGCTGAGATTAAGACTGCTGGTGAGTAAAGCAGACCTGTAAAAACTTGCTGCCCATAATAATATATACAACCTTTGGCACTCCAGATGTTGTGGATTACATCTCCCCTGATTAGTGATGTCCCGAACTGTTCGCCGAACGGTTCGCCACGAACTGTTCGCGTGGACTTCAGTCAGCTGACACATTCCAGCCAATCAGCAGCAGACCCTCCCTCCCAGACCCTCCCACCTCCTGGACAGCTCACTAAGAATGCAGCTTCAAAATGGATGCTGTCCAGGAGGTGGGAGGATCTGGGAGGGAGGGTCTGCTGCTGATTGGCTGGAATGTGTCAGCTGACTGGAGTCCGTGGCGAACCATGGCGAACCGTTCGGCGAACAGTTCGGGACATCACTACCCCTGATGCTTTGCCAGCATTATATAGGCTGGTAAGATAGCACAGTGAGCTAATGCATCATCAGTAGAATCTGTTCACCTCTTGGATTGCAATTTCAAATCCTGGCAGGTTTGAGGTTTCAGCCCTCTTCATCCTTCTGAGGTACATAAAATGAGTACCATTAAATTGGGTAATAGTAACAATCCCTGGATGTTGGGCTAAGGTAACATCCCCAGGACGTACTTGAAAAACATTGTTATCTGAATATATGTATATGTTCTAGCGCAGGGGTGCAGGTCATGAGTTATGCTTGGACAGTAACTCAAGAGCCATGTCATTAAATATTACAGATTTTATTTCTGACTTCTCAACTCATTTCATTCAGATTTTTTTCCTGCAATAAATAAATTGACCAGTATTTTTTGTCAGTGACACCTGCAAATGCATCCACCTAAAAATATTTGGGTTAATATTACCAAGTACTAATGAGTTAATGATTGAGAGATTCTTATCTGACAGTTGTCACACTGGGAGCTATCTTGGGTTTTGTAATGTATACATTACTTAAAGAATAATAAAACAAAAGAATTCAATTGTCACTTTGGGTTCAGACAAAGATGATTTGCGTAGTTAAACTAACATTAAAGCCAAGTAAAACAACACAAATATATATAATGCATAAAAATTAAAGAAACATGCTTTGGATTTACAAAACATAGGATGTGGTCTGATATAATATAATACATTAATCAAATATGGAGGCACAAATCATAGATTCAAACCTGCCTGGGAGGAATGGTACAAAGGAAACAAGAGGTTATGGGAAATGCCTCTGGATTAAAGATCGATGAACTGGTTGGGAAAAAGAACGAGCCAATTTAAACATGGATAATTTAAATGACTGTGTTTGAATAAACTGCTTCCAAGGTTATGTCCACAGAACATCTGATAAAACGTTACTAATAAATTAGTTTTTAGTACAATGCATAATTTGTAACCTATTAAGAAAAATTCCTCTACATACAAATATACATGTGTTATATAGATCAATCAATATATATCTTTTTTTTTTTTTTTTTTTTAAATGATGTTTCTATGTGGAAAAGTGGATTTCAGTATCAATCCCTGATTAAAAAATAACATACAACAAACCTCCAACATAATTTATACTTAAAGGGACACGATAGTCACCAGAACCACTACAACTTAATGTAGTGGATTTGGTGTCTATAGCATGTCTCTGCAGGCTTGTAATGTAAACACTGCCTTTTCTAGAGGCAATGTGCAGCACTGCCTTTCGGCATCTCCGTGCTCTGCATGGAGGCGCTATATGTTCCCCATTAAGATGCATAGATTCTATGAAGAGATGCTGATTGGGCCAGCGCAGCGTTTTTGGCTTGGCTGAGTTCATCAAGTTTTATTATATTGAGTAATTCACTATCAACATAAGCAATCCTACTCATCTTATTTAAAGAATGAAAGTGTTCCTGGAAGACACGATTCTCATAACCCACTGAGAGTTAATTCATGCATATTGTACCTATTGTGTCCCTTTAAATTCAAGAATTTTCTTGGTTCAGTATATCTCTACTGCATGCTAGAATTTGTAACATTCTCTTTACCTGGAATTTATTACAAGACTCAAAATGGTAACCGAATGAGGGGTACAATAATGTGTATTATCATTATTATTATTATTATTGGTATTTATATAGCACCAGCTTATTCCGCAGCGCTTTACAATAAGAGGGGAATTTACCAAATGAGACAATAACGAAATGTAACAGGAACAATAGGTAGTTGGGGACCCTGCTCAAACAAGCTTACAATCTTCAGCTTCCCTTGTCACATTGTTTTAACAGCACGTTGTTTTTGAAAAATGAGATTTTAAAAGGCATATTACAATTTCTGTGAACTCTCATATCATAAAGTGTTGAATTCACTGTTCTTTTAAAATATGAGGAAACTTGGACAAAACTGCAACATTTAAAAGGGCAGCCTCTGTGTTTCCAGCCAAGTTGGCCTCATTCCAGTGTAAGATTTAAATAAACTAGGTAACTAGATATTCCCTAATGTTGAGGCATGTCTGGATTCACATTTATATGCAGTGTGAATTATCTCATTTGACCTCTCATCATTAGAAAGAAGGGAACTATGGGTCAAGCACCAGACACTAGGTATGGAGTGCAGTAACTAATATAACAGGCAATCCCTTTCTCCATATGGATACAGAGAGAAATAATAAGGTATGTGCTATTCTTAGGGATGTGATGATACATGTTAATGTAATCATAGCAATAAATATAACTGTCCATTAAATTGCTATTGGGTATTTCTAAATGCTTTTTTCCACTTTCCATGCACTTGTTTATCTCTTATTGCCTTGACCCACAGTTCCTTATTTTCTTTCTCCCAGATGGTTTTTCATAAAATTCATAAATACAATTATTATTTCCATCTGACAATTATTATAACAAGTCACGTGGGACAGAAGTATGCATGTCTCTTTAAGAAGGCTTTAAGTAAATGTGACTTATGAACAGATGCTTGTAAAAATATAAAATAAAGTAGGTGTACCTTGAAAATGAATGTGAAGCATTTCTTTTTCTAAATAAGGTAGGGAATCTAGATTAGAGGACACATAACTGTCAGCCTAGTGGCAGGATGAGCAAGTGAGCCAATCAGCGCTGAAGGGGATAAACAGTATGTAACTAGGCTTAACCTAGTCCCCAGGATTACTTGGAGAAAGTACATTTCAGTGGCTTTTATTTATGTCATGCACTGCTGCTGCCTTTTGAACTACAGCTGTAACTTCAGCACTATAAACAGAAACCCACAAAAAGACATTATGGGAAATGCACATAAATTGGTAAAAATGGTAAGTAATAGTAAGTAGTGATGTCCCGAACAGTTCGCCGAACGGTTCGCCACAGGCGGCGAACATATGCGCTGTTCGGTCCGCCCCCTATGTTATCATTGAGTAAACTTTGACCCTGTACCTCACAGTGGGCAGACACATTCCAGCCAATCAGCAGCAGACCCTCCCTCCCAGACCCTCCCACCTCCTGGACAGCATCCATTTTACATTCATTGTGAAGCTGCATTCTTAGTGAGCTGTCCAGGAGGTGGGAGGGTCTGTGAGGGAGGGTCTGCTGCTGATTGGCTGGAATGTGTCTGCTGACTGTGAGGTACAGGGTCAAAGTTTACTCAATGATGACATAGGGGGCGGGCCGAACAGCGCATATGTTTGCCGTCCGTGGCGAACCGTTCGGGACATCACTAATAGTAAGTATAATTTGATTAGTAGCAAATATCCCATATCCGGCATAAATAAAATTGGGATGCAGGTTGGAGGAGGGTTAAGGACACGGACAGTGATGTGATTGTGTCATGCCCAGAAAGGGGACCGGTCCGCCTGACCTTTAATTAAGTCAACCTGGAGTGAATGCACACCAGGCTGACTGCCGATCATTAAAGACAAGGTAACTAAGGGCTGACCCTGCAGGGAACACCGTTTCAGTGTTCCCTGTAAGATCCTAGTGTCTTGAACGTGTGTCTAATGATGCTATAATGCTATGCTTTTTGGGGCCAGTTCTCTGGTGTCGGGATGAAAATCGGGACTGTGCTGCCGAATTGTAAAATTTGGGAGGCCTGTAGTAGTTTGTCTAGTTTAATGTAATTATTAAAATAAAAATCGCCTGTTTAGAGCATAATTGTTAATGATCTACAAATATTTTTTTAAAGCTGAACTGCTTGAAGTGGTCTTTTGCCATTTCAAAATATATGTCAGCATATGTTGTGGTCATACAGTTTCAGTGATACATTAGAAAAAAAATACGTATCAATTCACCCTAAATATAGTTAATTGAACGATAAAATATATTCTGTTGCAACTAAAGTAAGGTTCTACTTCAAATTTATAATAACAACTATCATAGTAATGTTCCTTAAGGAGGGCTTTAGCCTGGGTACTTCAGAATTACTGAGTTACAGGTTATTAATTTCATTGACTTCAAAGGACTCCAATTTAGTTTCATTAAAGAGGGATTTATGTTGAAAAATTACCCTCGTCTATCCTTTAAAGCTAACATTACACATTGTATAAAGATGCATTCTCCAGACTTTTAGTAAAATCACATGTAGTTATAGATAGCTAATGCAAGAGCTGTACTGGATTAATGAATTGAGGCACATGTTATTATTTAATAGAAATTATTTGGCATTAGTTGTTTTTTCTGTATTAGTATTTTAATTTATGTAGCACACAATTACAGCAAGATGGTAAAAGTGATGTCCTAAAACGTTAGCAGACTGCTCTTGTTGATGCTTGCCAAACAGGTAAAAGAGCACTGCAAGTATAGTAATTTAGTTATAGGGTAAGCAAATAAATGGAGTTTCTCATTTTTATTGCATTACTTATTTATGCATAAAAAAGAATTGTGGTATAGATGCTGGAAAAAGAAAACCTGTTTTGTTTCTATTATATGGCATTGTCGTTACCTACTTCAGTATAAGGCAATTTCTCTTCAAACTGTATGTATACAAAGGCTACAATTAGGCCTCCCAACTGTCAAACTTTCCCCAAGACAGTCCTCTCCTGCTGCTCCATTTTTACTCCGGATGCAGGAACTGTCCCCATTGAGCACAGTGCTGTGAGAACTAGGACCATGCAGAGAATATTTCAGCAGCATTCTCTCCATGATCTTCTGTGAGTGATTGTCTGGCCAGAAGGATGTCTCTGCGTTGACATCCGTCAGTGAAGGCCTGCCCCATTCTGGGCGGGCTTGCCTATTGTGGGCATCACCAGTGTTGCAAATTGCATCACGGGTGGTGTCCCTCCCTCCCAGGCATGCCCCATTTCCATACCTCTCAGTGTCAGGATGTATGTACATAGTAAAACAATTCATTTTTGCCTATTGTTAGTGTTCTTATATTCTCTAGATACAATTTGACCATATAT